TTTTCCAATTATGATGAATAATTCCAGTTCTCATAAGGGTTGGAAATGGCTGGAAACTCTCAACTTCGATAAACATCCAGTCAGTTTTAATTCTTTAGCGTATTTGGCAATTGAACAATCTGCCTTAGCCAACCTGTGGACAAAAAGGATTATTATAAGGGTGCCCTCAGGGACCGTTGGCAACTTAAAAATGGTGAGATCAACTGGGTAGTCAAAACCCCACTCCTCTTTATATCCATGTGATGTTATGAAAGACTGTAGATCTGGTCTTGGGAAGGAGGAAAGGAGCAATGAAATGTTAAGGGAGCGGGGATGGCAGGTGTGAAAAAGTAAAAAGTGTGAGAAAGGAACTCAATATATCCCTGACATCTTTCTGTTGGGCATATGGAACAGGAAGAAACTGACAGGCTTTCAAGGTTCTATAAAAATACAGATAATCTTTGAGTTATCACCATCACTGAGACCAGAACTTCCATCCCTAAGCAATGCAATTGGGTTGATGTGAAATGCCTCTCCCAGGCCAACCTTTGTATTCCACCTGCTAAGGACTTGCTTTAGCACTTGTCATTCAAAGCATGTAGACTTCATACTGCAGCCAATTTTGGTCACCATATCACAAAAAAGATGTTGAGAGTTTAGAAAAAAATCAGAGAAGAGCAACTAAGATGATCAAAGGTCTGGAGACTAAAACATACGAAGAACGGCTGCAGGACTTGGGTTTGGCTAGTCTAAAGAAAAGAAGAAATAGGGGAGACATGATAGCAGTATTCCAGTATTTGAGGCGCTACCACAAAGAAGAGGGGGTCATGTTATTCACCAAAGCATCAGAGGGAAGGAGAGAAACAATAGTTGGAAATTGATCAAAGAGAGAAGCAACCTGGAATTAAGGAGAAACTTCCTAACGGTGAGGACCATTAACCAGTGGAACAGCTTGCCATCAGAAATTGTGGGTGCTCCATCACTGGAAATATTTAAGAAGAGGCTAGACAGTCACTTGTCTGAGATGGTATAGGTTCTCCTGCTTGCGCAGGGGGCTGGACTAGAAGGCCTCCAAGGTCCCTTCCAGCTCTGTTCTATTCTATTCATCTTGTATTCTTGTACCATCTGAGGTCACAAGCAACAGGTCTTTCCGGGTCTTTTGCATGTAATGTGTTTCTGTACATGTAGAAGAGCGGCCTTTCCTTTTCATTGTAAACATTTCTAAACTGGGCTGTTTTCTGCTGGAAAACTTGTTACCCAATTAGATATTTGTTGCAACTGCAGCTTTTTTGTATCTCCCCACCCACTCAGCCTCTGTTTATAGAGACAACAACTACGGTAAAGATTGTGGTCTATTGATCTGATGAACTCTGTATATGTTTTTATGTGCCCTCAAATTGGTCCGCAAGGAGAAGGGCGGGATATAAATTTAAATAAATAAAAAAATAAATAAAATAAAATTTTTTGATGTAAATTCTTAGTACCTAAGCAATTTTCTCCAGGATAAATACTGTATGTACTTAAGCCATAGTAAATGAATTTATTTTTTAAAATGCCACAACCTTTCTCATTATTTTTAATTGCACTATCAAGTCATTTCCATAGTAAACATTAAACTGTGTATGTGGAAATGGTGAAATGGTTTAGTCTTTAAGATGCCAGAGAGTCACT